ACACTTTGCAAGTAGTACAAGAAGTAATAACAACTGCTTCATATTTGTTGGGTTGGGAGATGAGAGGGAAGGACAGTGTGTGTTTGCGAGAATGACAGAGACACACACAGCGTGTGAGAGTGCCAGAGGTTTGCATTGCCAAGCTCCCTCCATCCCCTTCTCTCTGTGTAGAGATAGAGTACAAGAGTGGGAGAAAGAGGGACACCCTGACATCAGCACTCCCCCCACATCTCTCTCCCACACTGTGCAGAAGGCTCCCAGGGGGGCAGCTCCAAGTCAGGGGGCAGGAGCAGCATGACAGGGAGTACAGGGGAAACTGAAGAGTAGGCACTTGATAGCTTCCCGGCTAAACAAGTCAGGATCACCTGTCAGAGGCTCCAAGATCTACCAGTAGATCTCGATCTACTGTTTGGTCACCACTGCTCTACCCTGAACCTTCTTCCCTCTTTAGATTAATCCATATTTGACACAAACTAGATTTACAGGCAGATTCAGCTAATCTGTGAATTCCAGGTGGGCAACATGGAAAGACACTAACCCACTCTTCTTTCCTGAAGACTGAACCCCCTAATGGACCCTCAGAATGGGAACTTTTCCTGAAAGAACTTCAAACAAGCTTGTTCAGAGGAATTAAATGGTTCAGTGAACACAGCAGAATTATTTGGTGTGCACTGTGTCTTATGTTGAGTAACAGGAAGAGTGGAAACTTCAGCTAGGCTCTCTACTTCATCCATGGTGCCACTGGACTCTTTGCAGGGGGAATTAAGCCTCACACTGTGGCTTTCCCCTCAGAATTGAAAAGCCCCAAATATTCCATTGGAAAAACTCAAATCTTCCAACCAGGCTTGCAAGCAGAAAGGACATTACTTTGTCTTCAAGCTTGAAGAACTGTGCTGCCTTCAACTCTTACTACAGTTCAGTGAGCCCTGGTTTTGGGAACTAATTGTACTTGAAAGACGCAGTGTGCACTCCCTAGAGTAGATGAAAAATATTTCCCTACTGCTGCATGGGAAAAAAAGAGGCAAAAAGCCCTGTACTGCCCTACTAGGCTATTCGAAAAACAAGACATTTCTCCTGATGGGAATACAAAGAACTGTCAGTTTCCCCACAGCAGACACCAGCTTTCTA